CAAATAAATTATCTTTTAAGATTAATAATTGTATTTTAAACATTTTTAGATTAATTGCAAGTCTGATTTTTTCTAAAAAAAAATGTATATAAAGCACTATGTATGGTCATAGAATTTAAGTCTTTTGCTTTCCAGCAAGAAATATAGATTATAATGTATATGTAAAATTTACGTTGAGATTCTATGCACAAACATAATAAACAAGTGAATTCAAATAGTTGTTTTTTAGCTTACCCAGAAATAACGGGATTAAGGGCAATATCTCCATGATGCTATGTACTTTCAAGACACGTCCGTCTAGTATTACTCTTCTTTTTCTTGTGAACTGATCCTTTACATCAGAACATGCTCATCGTTTTACCTTCATAGAAAAGGTCGTTTTAAGTTCGCTTGTTACAATATAATTCCAACGAATTTTTGTCTCTATAACGTAAACAAATAATCTATTGATGTTTACATCTTGCCATAAAAATATACTTTATATATTATCCTTTTTTCCTATCCTTCCTAAGATACAGCTATCTTATTACAGACTTCCTATTAGGATTTTATTTTATATATGAAGACATATTTCAACAATATAAGATCAATTACATAAATGTGTTAAAATATATGTATAAAACATATACATTTTACAAAAGATTAAATTCATTTTAGGCCCTGCGCACAATAGAAGGAATAAGGAATTAGGAATAAAAAATAAACAATTCTAAATAGATTGAAATTGTATTCTTTATTTCTAATTCCTTATTCCTTCTATTGTGCGCAGAGCCTTATATTCAAAATTATAATAGAAATATATCTTTAAATGTTTAATTATATGATTGTATATTTACATAATTAACATATTTAATTCAATATATTATTAGGTACGCAACTAAGTTCCCGCTGTTTGTCAACCGATGGCTCCAGCAGTAAGTGAACAGTTTTATCGTGATGGTATACGAGCTCTGCCAGAAAGATAGGAAAAAGTAGTAGCTAGCGATGGGCAATATTTTCAATGATTCATTTGTAACCATTTTCACAATAAAGTTGCATTTTCATCAAAATAACAGCGAGAACTTAGTTGCGCACCTAATATATATTTAAATAAATATAAATATGTTATTATGGAGATGTTGGGTCATGTTACGCGGGAATTAATTTACTTAATTTGCAATCAATTCGATTGCCACCTTTCCAGTTTTCAACCAAAAACTCTGATTTTTCGATCAAATCTTTGGCTCTCCGGAAAGAAATTTTCTGTTAATCGCACAAAATTTTGTTCATCTTTTTTAAGTGCACGACATTTTCCTTCGGTATTTGAAAAAATATTTCCGGCAGTAGGCATGAGAAGAGTCAAATCTGATAACCTTTTTTTAAATTTTAATAATGGTTATCAATCTTCAAATTCGATGATTTTTTTAGATGACGCATTATAAGACAGTTTTAATTTCGAAAATTTCGGCAATTTCGGTGCTATAAGCTATCGATCTCTGGCAAAATAATTGGATCTCCGGCAGAAAAGACAATCTCTGGAACAATAATCGAAAAGATGACAACTTATGGCAGAAATGGCGGCAAATATTCAAAAGATGGAAACGAGTCCACATTCTCGATGTCGTATCTTTTCAATGGCGACAATAAGAATCAGGTGATGCGAGTAAATAAATCTGACGATGCGTTTCATGACGTTTTATGCATTTTTTTGTGAAAAACACAAGCTGGACAGGCTGGACTTGGCCGTAATCAATTGGCAGACGTGATTTAACGAACAGGCAGTCAAGATTGTTCCTTTCGATCACGATGAGCGTGAAGCAGTACATCCATCCGAGAAACAAGTACAAACGACCGCCAGATTATAAGCAACTTGCGGTCTTGTATCCGGAGTTTCGTGAAATTGCGATCATGGTATTACTATATGTACTCTATAATTTATTCATCACGTTTATAGATGAACTTTAATGTAATCTATAATATATTACATGGGTATCTTATGTTTATTGTAAATATATTTAATAATATAATATAAGTGTAATTTAGTGTTAGAAAACTTTAGATTAAAAAAAGAGGAAAAAATTAATGAAGTAATAATATAACTGAACATATATTCAAGAAAATGTTATAGAAAACTATTTTTTTGTGTACTATTTTTTTACATTCTCTTACATTATTTCTTTTCTTCAACTTCTGCAATTTTTACGACTAAAGAAATATAACACTCGGATGTGATATAAAGTAAATTGTATATATGCTTTTTATTCATATTGATTGATTTCTTAGGACTTTACAGGAAGGGTTAGGATCGACTTCAAAGAGAGGAGAAGCCTGCATGTACTTACAGAGACGCTTCTGAAGCATGATTTTGACTTACACGTGAATATCCCAGCAGATAATCTGAATCCGGCGATTCCACTGCGCTTAAATTATATTCTGTGGATGGAAGACTTGATGACTCATTCTAAATTGGAGATGGAGAAAGTTACAGGCATCGACATTGGTGATTATAAGACTGCTTTTGAAAATGTTTTCGATAAATCATCCAAACGTTGCACTTGAAAAACAGAAACAAAAATTGGAGTTATAATTGCAATTATATTACTATTATATTTTGATATTAAAGAGTAATGTTAATGATAGCTATAATGATGAAAATAGATTCACGGGATAATACTTTTCAAAAATTAATTATGTTACAGTAATGAATGCTATCTATCTTATAATGTACCTGTATATTTAATATAATATTTTAGACTGCTATACGAGATCTGAACAATTTCGTTTTAAATAGGAACTGGAGCAGTTTGTATATATGCTCTATTACTGGCAAAAATCTATAAATGTCAAGTGATTGGCACAGAAATTGGCAAGGAAAGTGTAGAGCATGCTCAGAAATGCATAAAGAAAAACAAATTACAAGATTTAATTAAAAGTAAGTGCTATTAAAATATTTCCTTTTATATTGAAGCAAAAAAAAAGTTATGAAAAGTGAATGTTTTTAAAATTAAAGCTTTATTTCATGTAACGGGATTTTCTGATGTAGTAATTACAGTGAACTCCGATAGAATTTTTAAGGATGTAATACAGGATAATAGAGTTTATGACTTCTCAATGTGCAACCCACCATTTTTTGAGAGTGAGGACGATGGCTTCGAAAAAGTCGAAAAAGTCTTACCACCGAGAAACGCACCTACTGGAAATGACAGCGAGTTGAAAACCGAAGGTGGTGAAATAGGCTTTGTGACGAAGATGATCGAAGAGAGTGTCGACGTGGGAGATCGAATAAAAATCTACAGCACAATGATTGGCAAAAAAGCCGACTTGACTGGTTTAAGACAATTGTTAAGATCGAAAAATATAAAAAATATGACATGGACGGAATTCTGCCAGGGTCACACAACACGGTACAAATATATTAAGCTTACAAATTATCTTTCTATACAAAACCCGTCAATATAAGTTTAATTGTTAAGTCTAATTATTAAGTATGTTATATCTTTAATCATTCATTATTTTGAAGCTTATTAAAGCCTTTCTTGTTCACAGATGGGGTTTGGCTTGGAGCTTCCTTCCGCAAAACGTTGTCAACTTGACTACAGCACCTGTCATTAGAAAACATGGGAAGTCTATAATGGGATTGTTAAAGAATTACAAAACCTCGATAACATTTCCTGTGAATGATAAATTTTCCTGCATAGACGATATAATTAGTTTTTTAAAAGTAACAGCGAAAGAGTTGAACGTAATGTATTATTTTTTTTACTTTTGATATTAAGTTTATGGATTATTTGCAATTAAGAGTTAATTTAAAAATATTTATTACGTTTCATTTTATTATCAACAGATCAAGTTGCAAGACGTATCCATTCCTGAGGATAGTTTCGATAACTGGGCGTGTCGAGTAATTGCTAGAAAAAGATCGTGGGAACATATGCGCAGGAAGCGGCGTTTAGCGCAACAATCTGCGTTAAAAAGAGCAAAAAGTGAAAGTGATGAATGTATTGAGGTTGAAGAAACTTCAATTGAAATTGGAAATAGTGCGAAAAATTCAGATGAGGAAAGTTCTGATAAAGAATTATCTGATAAAAACGGTCCTTTGCTTGTTTGTAAATTCTGGGTAGAAGCAGAAAGCCGCAATGATTCTCAGGATATAATTATACAACCTGATGAGATACTCAGGATATGGATGGTGTTTGAAAATGGATATGGCGGTTTGGACGCGTTACATTCGTTGCGACAGTATCTGATAAACAAATTGGAAGTGAGGGAAAAGATTTTAGATAATCCATCGAAGACGAAGAGAAAGAAAAAAAGGATTAAAAAAGAATGCTAATAGGAGTTTCAGGTCCATTCAGGTGTATTCGAGCAACAGAAAAAATTCAGCGAACAATAAACAGGACAGAAAATTTTGAAGAGAATTCTTAATTAGATCGTGTTACATATAAAACAATTTATTCCATGCAATATGTTAAAAAAAATCTACAACAGGATAGTATATGTAAATCAATTTTTGTAATGTTCTTTTTATTTCATGATATATGTAAAGTTTTTTGTGTGTAACTATATCCCCCCTTATAATTATTTTTTTTTATTCTCCCTTTATAATACAATTTGGCTAATTTAAGTGCAATGTGGTAATTTTTTTTTCATTACGATTATTGCAATGCGAAAACGAGTCCGACGAGAATCGGCGGCAGAGATTGATTGACTAATTAATTGAACGTTCATTTGCCGCAGAAAAATTGCTTTCTTCAGGCCTGAAATCTCGCATAGAATCTACGAGGATTGCGAAATAATTAGCACTATTTTCTGTAATAAACAAAATTAAAAGTTTCGCTACTCGGCTATCAGACAATCGATATCGCGATATATCGCTCTTCGATCGAATCGCGGCGAGAGATTCCGGATCGCTGTGAATAGATCCGTAGAGTGAATGAAACGAATTATAATTAATATTAACAGCAGGGTAACAATCGATTCCTTTACTTAAATACTAAAACTATAATCGCGGAACTTGAAATCAGCTACTATTCGCAATGACTCGGTTAACAATTGGCTACTGGCGTTCTTAATTACATGATCAAATAACAATGCCATTCGCTACATCGTACTTTCATTATTTTTAATACCGAATTAAAGATGTATAGTATAATTTTATATCAAGCAGGCACATTAAGAAAAACTTGAATTTAAGAATATCTATAAAAATATGGAAGCACCTTCTCGCTTAATAAAAGATGAAAGGAGATGAATTATATTTGTACGAACTACAATAAATCGTAATATTTTCTTTTTTTTCTTTCGGTGGCAATTAAGATGGAAACATGTCTAAATGGCACAAAAGTGATCACGAAAAAAGGAAAACAAAATAAATTTATTGAAAGTGAATTCGCAAATAACAATGCGTAATATATTATATTAATGCACATTAAAGCCTGCGTACACACTACACATTTATAATTGACGAAATATAATAACGACATAATTTAATATTTACCAAGCATTGTCGTAAAATATTAAATTATTCTTAACGTCTTATGAATTCATCCGTTTATACATGCTTTAAATGTAAATTGCTTTAAAGTATGTGACTTTTAATGAGCATTATATTCAAGAAAAAATGAGAAAAAAATGCGAATTCGCTCTACAAAATAATAGGGAAAATAAAGATAATTAGTTCCGAGAATCTAATATGAATTTAATCGAGTTTGAACGTTACTTAATCTGACGAATTAACGATCAGTACCAGTCGATGTATCGTATCACCGGTTTTTTGCATGGTAAATAACTTGAGCCTTTAAAAAAATGCGTGGTGGCTTCCGTGCAAATGAAAAAAAAAAAAATTGTATTGCTTTTTGATTTCACGCGATGGCAAAAAGAGAACAATCTTTTTTATCTTGATTTTATTTTGTATCTTGATTTCTCAAAGATATAATCTTCGTTGAAGATTGCTCTCTTTAAGCGACATGGCACCAGTGTCTTTATATACATTCGATATAATAGATAAATGTGCGTCTCGCATGCAAATTCAATCTCGGCAGATATATTCATCCCTTTATCTTCACAAACACACCATGGCGGCAATCTTGCATCTTGTCTTTTTTTTTAGTCTCATGTCCTAATTGCGTTTAAACAGTATAACAAAAAACGGTGCAAGTACCAAGTATGTATACATCATATGTGACGATCCTCGCGCGAAATCGTCATCTTCCACAACGGAGGACTAGGGCTTAGAAAAAAGAAAGGAAAGACTACTGTTTGTCGTCGGCGAACGAAAGACTCAGCTCTTTGCCGCCACGACTGACTCCAAGATGTCAGTTTTGCTAGTTTCCAAGTCTTTTGTTGCCTTCTGTTCGATCTTAACGTCGTTCTTCTCTATTATTTTTTTTGTCTCCTTATCATTCTTCTTGGTATCATTCTCCTTTTCAGCAATCGCCATGATGGCCTCGCTGCCATCCGGCGACTGTTCCTTCTGTCGTTTCTCGATCTCCGCCTTAAAATTATCGATATCCTGCTGGCTGATTTGCACAAAGAGAATGCCATTGATAACATTGAGCATATCCAACACCGAGCCCATGCTGGGCGGCTGCACCTGAATCGGTGGCAGGCTTACACCTGACTTGCCCGTGTAGATCTCGTTCATTTTCTTTTGCAACACGACTGCCTGCTGGGTTAGGTGCCGCAAGCAGTCGCTGCTTTCCTTTGTTTTCTCGTGCTCCTCACCTAATTGCTGCTTATAAATTGCGTAAGTCTCCTTTTCGTTGTTCAGCGCTGCTCGGAAATCGCCCATGCATGACTGTGTGCGTGCCACTAAATGATACGATACCGCGACCTTCAATGAATGAGGACCGTGATAACGTAAATTCAAGGTTAATGCGTGCTCTAGGAATCGCAACGATAGCTCATATTCACCGACCGCGTGCAGAATCAGTGAAATATTGCTCTGCAAAAATCAAATACGATGTTATTGTTATATTTCAAACATTAATTTTTTAGGAAATTTATGTTGCCTTAAAAATGCATCACACAATAAAACTATTTAAGCACAAATAAGATATCACAATAAAATTACTTTAAAATTATATAATATAATATTATATATATATATATATATATATATATGTGTACATAAATGTAATTTTTTAAATTTTTACATGAGGAATTTCTAAAAATTATTTAAGATTAAACTTACATCGAGCAAGGCCACTTCTGGATGGTCTTCACCGCAGACTAATAATGCTAGATAACGTGCTCTGTATAATAATCTTAATGATACAGATACTTGCCCGTTGGCAAAAGAATATAAGGCGAGATGTATCTACAAATACAAAATAATATAATTATTATTAAATTTTAAAAGATATATTATTTATACTTACTGTTGTTTTATTTTCTATACAATTTAATAATAAATTTCATATGCTATATGGTGCATATAATGCCTAGAATTATTTCTTCACTATTTCTGCATTATTATTTTAACTACAACTGTCATTTATTTTAGTACAATCGATGTAACTTACGTATTCTGTAATGGTATACGGATGATCGATGCCATTGACTCTCTCCGACATGAGGACTGCTTTTTGCTGAGTAGCAAGTGCTTCCGCATGATCGCCCATTATGTAATTTAATCTTGCTAGCATTCTAAGACATTGTGCAATTTCAGGATGCATGGCACCATAGACGTTATTAAGGAGATTAAGCGCTTCGCTGATTAATTCGTATCCATCTTTTAAATATCCTTGTTGAATCTTGCTTTGACCAGTAGTGTAAAAATTATACGCGTCGCTAGCCTAAAAGAAGTTGAGTTGAAACAATTCCTTTACTTTAATCCGCAGCTTTTGATTAAAATAAAAATTCTTTTGAGATTTTTAAGATTTAACGCTTATATATAGTTTTTCTGCATTAATCATTTCATTTATATTCATTTAGAATCAATGACTTACTCTAGGATTGATATGTTTGACGACAGGAAAGATGTTCAATATATCTTCTTCGAAGAAAGTTGCCCGGTTCTTGTTTTCGAAGTTATATTCGCGTAATAGTATTTGAATGCCAGTCTTAATGCAGAAACCACGTAGTAATGAAATTTTTTGTAGATAAAAATGTTCTATCGTGGCTTCCAGAGATTCCGGGCTCGGTGTTTCCCAGTCGTAATAGGCCTTCAAATCACTCTTAATTTGCTGCCACAATGATTTAGGCGTTAATGATGCCCATTCTACTTCTAACTGTTGCGGTCCGTTGTTTCTCCCCTTACGTTTATTGCGGCGTTTGGCAGTTTTGCTTTGAAGCTGAAATAAAAAATTTATATCAATTTATCTCCTAAAATTTAATTATATAAAACATAATTTTAATAACTATTGTCCTTCATTATCATTATTATTAATTTGAAATTAACAAAATTTCAATCCTTTTTATCTTTATATCATTAATTAACTGTAATACAACTAACACTGTACATAAATTATAAAGATGTGAAGATCGATCGTACCTCTTCTAGATTTTGTGGATGTATAATCTGTGCCGAAGACAGCAAGCAATTCAGAAAGTGACTGACAGCCGCCGATAGATTCATCAAATCCGTACCCTGTAAAATGATACATTTACAATTTTTTGATATATTTCTTAAACATATGATAATTTTATTTTCGTATAATTACCTGCATGTAAGAGGTGAAAATATGTTTCGCCGATCGAAGTATCAATTCGGATACAGCAATGCGGTTGAGATAATGCAACTGTGGCACTGCGGCTAACATAGCTGCCAATTTACCAAGATAGCGAACATTAATGCCTCTACCGTGAAGAGCCTCCACTAATGTATTACCGTCCATCGCGGCCGCCGTATGATCTAAACACTCCCGAATCTGAAATAAATATTTACTTAAAAAAAAAAAAGATACAATTGCGCAATTGTGAGTACAGTTAGAATCCACATCTCGGATCTAGTTACAGAAATATTAAAAATGTATATTCTGTTAAATTTTTACAACAAACTTACGAATGTCGGCAGCTGCGCCGTGAGTAAGAAATCTGCAGCATCCTTTACTAGTTGTCTCTGCTTCTTCAGATCGGTGCCATTAAGATCTGGATGCTTAACGCCAGGCGAGAACACGTCCGGATTGAATCTTACATCGAACTCAGCGTCGCGCAGACTACCCACTGCTGTCGCCGCTTTTCGCACTATCTCTTTCGTGCTCTCCTCCACTATCGTAAAAATAAGATTTGTTATAAAACTAATTCTAATTTATATGATAATTTTTTTATGATTTATTTTTTATTTATTTATTTTTTCTTAGCATTCATTATTTCTTTATTATTAGTAAAATCCTAAAGGTTTCTTCACATATATGAACCTATAAAATCAATGCATCTAGGAAAAAATAAGAAATATAATACATACGTTCTTGTTTTT